AATGTTGATGAAAAATATTTAGTTAGTGTTTATGATGAGTATGAAAGTATCATTGATAAAATGTATTCTGATTATATTATTTTTGATAATAAGGATTTTATTTGTGTAAATTGTCGTGAATTAAGAGAATGTGTATATTACAATAAACATTATCAACTTCGTTTAGAAAATTCTTGTAACTTATCTAAATACATATCTCTTTTTGATGAACTTATTCGTTTATAATTTATTCAGTTTATACTGAATAAAATTTTAATTACGTGAAAAAAAAATGGATTATTTTTACGTATACGATACTACTGATGAATACGCATATTATAATAAATATTATCAACTTCATTTGTATATAGTTCATTCGGATAGGCAAAAATTTACAATAAACATAAAAATCGAGGAAGTATTTTTTGATATCAAATTAGATTTGTGTAGTATAATAAAACCACAAATAAAAAGTTTTGTTGAAGAATTTAATCCTTCTAGTTATAAAATGATACATAAACAACCTTTTGATTCTACAGAAAAACATAATTTTATTCATCTTTATTTTTCTAACCTTACTAAACGAAAAAAAGCATTGAATATAATTGAGAAAAAACAAGAAACTTTTCCTAACAAATTAGAAAATGCGTCAGAAGAGGTTAAACAAAAATTTGCAGATTTTTGTCATTGATATGACACATATTCAGATGATAACACATGTCACTATCAAAAGATTACACGTGAACAAGATTTTGAGTTGGTTGGATGGTATAGAATAAACAAACCTCAAATATACAATAACATGGAGATTATTTTTAAAGATATAGAAAAAATTGAACTTACAAAACCAATACTATTGGTTTTAATGTATTGGAATATTGAGAGTAGCAGCATGAGAGGTCCAGGATATTTACCAGTAGGAGAAAATCAAGAGGATTATATATATATGATTCAGATGGATTTTTTTTCTTAACAGAACAATCACCGTTTAAACGTTTCTGCATAACCACGATTTCGATACAACAAAGATTATTAGAAGAAAAATATTCGTTAAATATTGAAATCATTCATGTTAGTTCACAAGAAGAATTGATTAAAACATTTTTCGAAATATATAAAGTATATTCACTATCATTTGAATTAGGATACAATATGGGAGGATATGATTGGAATTTTCTTTTGAAAAAGATTCATCTTCTGAAGATAGAATTAAATCTTGAAATACAGAACA